TCACACCCATCACCACAACCAAAACCACAACCACAAGCACAACCGCAACCACAACCTCATCAACAAATTCAACAACAACATCAACAACACCACTAACAACAAACCCGCAACAACATCGATAATCACAACAGCAACATGACAACCCAAACAACAGCAACAACAACAACAACAGCTGGAAAAACAAGAAATGACGCCCTGTTTTTCCCAGTCGGAACCGCCAGGAAATGCCGCAGGCCGCCAGCAACTCGCGTGCGAGGCGACGGCTCAGCGCAGCGTCTCGATGGGCGGCTCGGACTTGTCCGGCGCAATGGCCTGGGGTGTCCGTTTCCTCCTCCTGGAGCTGACGCTGGCCGCCGGTCCGTCCCTCCTCCTCCTCCTCCTCCTCCTCCGCCACATCCTCCTCCTCCTCCTCCTCCTCCTCCTCTTCCTCCACCATCCTCCACCATCCTCCTCCTCCTCCTGCTGCTCCTCCTGCTCCTCCTGCAACTCCTGTCCTTCCTCCTCCTCCTCTTCCTCCTCCTCCTCCCACCACGCAGCGGCCGCCGTCGCCGCCGCTGACGACCCGTGCTCGGGCCACCGTGCTGATATCCCCCACGACCCGCACTGCGCACCTGCTCCATCTGGAGGAGGAGGAGGAGGCGCCAATCAGGGGCTGAATGCGACAGCGGTCGCGGCGGAAGCTCTGTCCGCAGAGGGGTAGCGCCGTCAGGTTGAGTCAAGGGACGAACGCGCGATCAGGGCGGGAAGATCAGGGAAGACGAGGACGAGAGGGGGGTAAAGAGGGAGCGGGAGTGGAAGGCAAAAGTGGAAGGGAAGGACGAGGAGGAGGAGGATGAGGGAGGAGCCTCCTGAGGGGTCCTCTCTTGAGGGTAACCTGGGGCTTCTTGGCGCCTTCCGAGGGCCAGCTTCGTGCAGTGATGCATCCTGAAGCACTGATTGACGCCTCTTGGGAAGTCTGGGAACTGATTTTGCGGAGGCATCCCACGCGAGAACTCCAGTTTGGGATCCTCCGAAGTTTCACCAGTCTTGCTGGGATCACCGGCCGAATTTGGAACGAGAGCGCTCCTGAAGGCCTGCTGGTGGCATCTCGTAAGACCCCTCGGAGCCTGTTGAGATATGATCCTCTACTGGACTAACTCTGGCTCTTTACGCTTATATGTAAGCATTGGTGAATCGGGAGAATCCAGCAAACGACACTGATGCTGCCCGAACTCCACGCAGTGATCGAGGTGAATCCCTGATTTTCGCAGTTCTGATCAAGTGGCTGCGACATTGCTGAAGTTTGTAGTTACGATGATGGTGGTGCTGCTGCGCATGATAGTACACTTGATTAGTACATCGTGGGACTGGATGTTTGAAGTAGCAGCTCGCCATCGCTCGGACGTCGATTCCCTGTTTTTTTTCGGTTCCGTGCGTGTTTTTTCCGCCAAGTGATCAAGGATGCTCCTCGATGGTCTTCGCCGAAGGAAAAATGCACACGTCCGAGCGATGCCAAGGCGGAGAGGCGCAGCGACAAGTCCCCTCGCGACGAAAACACGCACAGTAGCAGCCAACCGCGCGCGCATGACGTAGGAGTCGCCGGCCACGGCGACGCCGCGCGGAGCTCCACCGGGAGACAACAGAGGAGGGGGGGATGGAGGGAGGGAAGGGGGGAGGGGGGAGGGAGGGAGGGAGGGAGGGAGAGAAGATAGGAGAGGAGGGAGGGAGGGAGAGGAGGAAGAGGAGGAGGTGGAGGGGGGAGGGGGAGGGAGAAGAGAGGGGAGGGACGCGAGAGCAGGCGCTGGAGAGCCCGCCCCGAGCCCCCCCCCCCCCACACATACACACACGGCAGCGGGCGAGGTCGCACATGGCAGCGGGTGGGCGGCGCGCGCCCGGAGGGCACCCGTGCTGCTCGCGGTGATTTCCTGCGGCGCGGGCGCGGCCCGTGGCGGCCCGCTGCGGGCGCATCCTACCAGCCTGGAACATATCCCTGTCCCTAAGCTGGGCATCGCCTCCACACAATGCCAATCTCGGTCACTCCCTTAGTTTTCCAAGGCGAATCCCTAAGATTGTCATCGCCTGTTGGCGTGTCTATCTCAGGGATAGGGATACGTTCGAGGCTGGTGAGCATCGTGTCCGCGCTCCCGCTCGCGGGCGCTCCCTAACACCAGCCCTCTGAGCGTGGGCGGTCTACGGAGCTTCCCCTCCAAGACCCCCTCGAGTTATGAAAAAATCACGACGGGAGGTTTTTCATTATTTTGTGCCTTTGGGGGCCCTTACCGGCCCTCGGGACCGTCAAAAAACGACCCAGGGCGGAAAACTGGTCCCGGGGAATGGGTCGAGACCTCGGGGGGTCGACGTCATGAAAAAATCATGACGTCGGGGGTCTGGGTTTCCAGCCTTCTCTCTTCCCCCTCAGGGAGGGGTGCCCGAACTGCCGGTCGAGGCGGTATATTCCCCAGGTCTTTTTTTCTAAGACGTAAGGAAATCATACTCGTCGCAAACAGGCATCGCGGAGGCCTCTAAAAGGCCTCGAGGAGGCTTCCAAGAGGCCTCTGAGAGGTTCCTAAGAGGCTCTCAGAAGCTTCTGAGAGGCCTCGAAGAGGCCTCCAAGAGGTTTCTTAACAACTTCCAAGAAGAGGCCTCTAAGAGGCCTCTAAGAGCCCTCCTTCTACGAAGCTCATGAGGGTCTTCTGCGGTACATCTATACACTGAGGCGGCGCACGCGGCGCAACAAAGAGGACACCCCCCGAGGGTCAAGGTCGTCGGTTTAAGGTCAAGGCTTTGGGCCTCGATCTTCCAGGTTTAAGGTTGGGGGTTTCAAAGGTTCAAGGTAACTTGCAAGGTCAATCAAGGTCAGTAGTAGTTATTCCAAGATGGCCCCAAGACGGCATCAAGAGGGCTCCAGGAAGGCACCAAGACAGCCCAAGAGGCCCTCCAAGACGGCTAAGACGGCCTCAAACGTCCTCCAGAACAACCCTAAGACGCTTCCAAACGCGTCCAAGACGCCCCCAAGAGAACCCGAGTTTGCCCAAATATGTTTCGAAGATTGCCGATCGTCGCGACATTGATTATTGAGGCGCGATATTGATCAGGCGCGATATTGATTATATGGGAGCAGCCTTGAAGCGGCCGCAGGATAATAGGACGACAATCATTCGATAGTTGTTTCAAGTTTCAAGTCGTTTTCATCTCGACGACCGCCGCATTGATCCAAGCACGCTTTGACTCTTCACGGTGGCCTGTGCCACCGTGCCCTCGAGGCGCACGCGTGGCTCCCTGGACCGTGGCCCAACGCCCCCTAGACCTGGCGATCGACCACCTAAAGTAAAACGTGAAACTCACACAGCCCAGAGCCTCGAGCCTCGGGTGGGAATATCAGAACTAGATGCCAGCCCAGCCCACCTCCCACCTCCTATCTCCTATCTCCTATCCTTACTCCTCCTCCTCATGCTCGTCCTCATCCCTCCCAGTTTCGTCCGCCGAAGGTACGCAGGTACTTGGTACGCTTGTTTTCGGTTAACTGTTAACTCCTCCTCCCCCTAATATCCTTCCTCCCCCCTTTCGCCATCCATGCTATCTACTTCCGTTCAACTTCCCCTCATCGCCATCATCCTCCATGGCCAGTTCGAATATCAACCCAGCCCCCTCTAGACGGGCATGAGTCTGGCGAGGGCCACTAATTGCCCCCCGAGGTTCAATGGCCCAATATCGGGGCTGCGTTGCTGGTCGCCCACTCCACCAGGTAGTTATTCAGGCCGTTGGACATCTCGATCTTCGACTTCTGAAGCGCGCCCCCCAGCCCCGCCTTAATTTTCTGGCGGTCTTCCTTCTTGGCGGCGGTGGCGCCATTCCCGACAAACAGAACCTGGAGGACCACCGCTGACAGAAGTGCGATAGTCACGCTGTTGATGCGTGTCTCCGCCGCATCCATCGCCTTCTTGGACTCGGTGGCTGACTCCGCAGACAACTCGGGCATCTTAGTAAAGGCATCCTTGATGTCTCTGAGATTGTCCCCCAACCACTCGCACAACTGCGCCATGCCGATGCGGTTCGGGTTCTTCAAGGGCGAGTCCTTACAGTACGTCTCGTCAGTGCCAGCGACGGCCTTGCCCTGCCAATCGCCCATCGGCATCAGATCCCCCATCGAAGAATTCCCGGCGCCCAGCGCAGCCGTCCACCTCCAAGCCAGGGAGCTGGTAAGACCAAGGATCGACGCCGTCGCCGCAGTCTTGGCCTCGCCGCTCAGCAAAGGAGCCTCGTGGTCGTCGCCCTCGAAGAACGCCTTCAACTCGACCGCGCCCAGGTCGGGCAATTTCTCCGCCTCCTCGCGGCTCTCCGCGATGAGGTTGGCCAACGACGCGTTCGCGAGACTCTTCTCCCCCTCTGCGCTCTGGCTGGAGCCGCTCGAGCCCGTAGCCTTATGCGGTGGCTACTTCGGCGCGCTGAATGCTGCTTCATGGCGCATGGCCGCGGGGCAAGATTGCACCGCTGCCGAACGGGACGCATCCAAGGCACGGAAGAACGCGAAGTGCGCATCACTATAACGAGCAGCAAGTTGGACTTCTCGAAGCTGGCGCCCGCCCGCCCAGACTCGCAGCGCGCTGCGCAGCTCGGTCTCGCGATTCTCGGCGCGCGCATGCCGCGACAGCTTCTGGGCGAGTGCCACGACGCCGTCCAGGTTGAAGGTGCCTTGCAAGTTGCCGAACTCGAAATCGATGAGACAGAATATCTCCTCGACCTTGAACGTCGCCGCCTCGCCCTTCACCTCTGCGCACAAAGTCTTGAATTCGGGGGCGAAATGAAAAAGGCTTCGCGCAGAGTTGGTCGACGCCTCCTGGAGTGCGTTGTTGGCTCTACTCGCAAGCTCCCCCTGGACATCGTCGAGCACGCGCGCCCGTTGACACAGGGCGGCGTCTTCTGGGCAGATCCCGGCAGATGGAGGCGATCCCGGATCCCGCCGCCCAGGGTCCGAGTTGCCCCCGGCCTCGCTGCACAATGTCGCGCGGTCCTTAGCGAAGGCGATGCACTCGCTGATTTCGATATTGTCTAGAGCAGCATTGGCGTCGACCTGCCGCAGGGCGCGAGGGCGGAGGAGGGGGGGGAGGCGAGGAGGAGAAGGGGGGGGAGAAGGAGGGATAAGAAGAGGATGGGCGACGTGGGCACAGGGGGCCAGGATAATCCCCCCGCCGCCCGAAGAGGCGGGGGGGGGGGGCGGAGGGCAGGGGGTAGAGGGGTAGAGAACCAGGACACACATTACACATTACCTCATTACCTGATTACCTCATTACTCATTACCTCATTACTGATTACCTCATTATTTATAGCTCAGTATTCACCATTCACTACTCATTACTTCCCCCCCCCCATCTCCCCGCCCACCCCCCCCCTCGTCGCCGCCCTCCTCCTCCTTCCGAGGGGGGCGAGATTTAGAATGCAGGGTGACCTTGAAACCCGCGATCTCCAAGATGCCGATCACGCAGTTCAGCGCCTTGCTCATGCCTGCGATGGGCCCCTTTACCTCCCCGGTCGCCCGCGGCTCCAGAACTGCGAGGGCCGCCTTGCACGACGCCTTCAACGCGTTCAAATGCTCCGAGAAGTTGGCTGGAATCATAGCCTCATATTCGGGTACATCCCCGTGCGCGATGATGAGCTCGCTGATGGGCCCGAGGCCCATGGTCATGAAGGAACAGCCAAAGGCTGGCAGCAACTCATTCGCGATGGCAACCTCGTACCCTGCGATCCCCCCCCCCTTCTCATGCGCCCAGAAAGTGGCCGGAGCGGTCTGCAGGAAAAGAACGATTATCCGCAACCCGCCTGACTTGCTCAGCTGCCGCCGCCACGGAGTCGACGATGGAGATCGGCGCCCGCCTCAGCGACGCGAGCTGATGCATGTCATGCGAAGCCTGCGTCCAGCGCCTGTCGAAGACCTCTGTGCTGCGCTTTGCGCTTCTGCTGCGACGCCTTGGCCAATGCTGTCAGCGCCTCAGTGCCCAGCGGGGAGACCCGGAAGTGGAACAACGCCCCGGATGACGAGGCCTTCGCCGAAGCGATCGTCGCATCCAATTGTTCGGAGCCCTGGCCGTTGGAAGCATCGAGCAAGGTCTTGATGATGCGGATATCGCGGAGGATGTCCGGCAGCGTAAAGGTATCCTCGTGATCAGCGCTGCAGGCGGCCTCGTTCAAGGTCGTCACAAGGCCGCGAATGCTCTCCTCCGCCTCCTTGGAGCCCCTACCCCCAGCGCACTCCTGAACGAGCTTGCCCATCGCGGAACTCTGCATCCCCGACAAGATGTCGGGGGCCGTCTGCGAGCCCGTGACGCCCCGAATGTAAGCCAGCGACACGACTTTCACTGCTGCGCCGGAGGGCCTCTCTTCAATGGCGCGCCACGCCGATATCTCGAAGTCCAGCTCGTGGAAGGACGAGGGCCAGTTATCCAGAAGCTCCAGAATCTGCCTCGCTTGCACCATCTCGAAAATGAAATCACTGATCGCCTGCTTATCCACACTGCCGCGCAACTTCCCCGTGCCCCCGAGCACGGCTTCAACGGTCGCCATTGTCTGGAGGAGACCAAGCGCGCGATCGATAACATCCACGAGCACCGTCCACGCACCCAGGGCGCGCACAGCTGCCTCGTCTACCCGGCCCTCGACGTCTGTCTGAACTTTCGCCAGGGACTTCTGCATCGCCTTCTTCTTATTGGCAAGGGGGCCTGGTTTCCACTGGCCCTTGTAGAACTTGATGCACACCTCCTTCATCTCCTTTTCGCCCGTCTCCCTGGTCGCCACCAAGATGGCCTCAGACTTCGCCTTCTTCTTGGACGAGCCGGATGCCTCTTTCACGTCCTCTTCGGCAGTGCGCCTCAGCTTCTTGGCGCTCTTGCCGAATTGCTTGGGGGAGCGTTCGCTTCCGAAGAATCCGAGAGCGGCTTCTGCGGCCACCTCCTGGGCCATCTCTTCGCCCTCAGCGTCGCCCATGGCCTCGTCATCATCCTGGGCTTCGTGGCCCTCCATTTTCACATCGATTTCTCCCGAGTCCTCCGGCTTCGCAATGCGCGCCATCGCCGCTTGGACCATGTCGTTAACATTATTCGCCGCCATGGTTGAAGATCCCGCAGCGCCGTTGCCCTTCTTCGCGGCCTGAGAAAAGTTGGCGGCGATCTGGCCCACGTCGATCGTTGGGCGTCCGTCGTCGAGTAGGTGTTCCTTCTGCGTCCCCTTGGTGAACTTGGACTCGACGTCGTAGGTGCCCTCCTCGCCGATGAGCTCAATGAAGCCTCCCTTCCAGACTCCTGGTTCGACCTCGTAGTTACCGACGAGCTTCAGCGTGCCCGCATCTTTGAACGACAGCTTCTTAGGATTGCTTTCGCGGTTCTTGAAGGCCTCCTCAGACACGAGCCTCGCCTTCGGCTTGACGAAGGAAATCTGTGACTTCACGGTTAGCTTGACGATTGGGATCGGCGCCGGCAGGGGCGCCATGTCGAGCTCGATGTTCCCATCTCGCTTCTGCGCAATCACCGCCTGCTCGACCATGAAGAACCCCCCCCCTGCTTTTCCCCGTTGCCGCCCACGCCCTCGCTCAACTCACCCCGCGCCCGAGCTTTGAAGCGGGTTCGGTGGGCCACCGAAGAATAGGAACACACCGCCCCCTCCGGCTCGCCGTTGGCCTTGTAGTAAGCCCACCCCCTCTCGTAGCCTGGGTGCAAAGGGCCCTCCGAAGTGCTCGCGCGCTTGCAGAGCTCGCAACGAACCGCCTCGGTCGTAGCCCCCGCGAGGCGGAGCTTGAACTTGCGCTTCTTGCCACCCTTCGACACATGATACACGCGCTGAGCCTGCCTCTCGGACACTGGAAGCGCGAGCATCGCCGCCGCCGACATTTGCGGGGGCTCGACTGGAGGCCCGCTGCCCAACATATTCATCAAACTATACTCATAGCTGAAGAAACGAAAGAAGAAAGTAAGCATATAACCGATCACAGATCTTGTCTCCGCAGCGCCGTTTCTCGAACCGAAGTGGCTCGTGGCCCTGCGTCCTCGCCCCTCTCTTCCGGGGGGGGGCGATGCTCAGAGATCAGCGGCTGTAGCTCGACGCACCGATCTAGGCTAGTGGTCTGCGCTGGCGTGCCATTAATGCTGCTAATTGTTTTCGAAAGCTCCTAGCGCTTGTTGCTGCTGCGCGTTTCGTTGATGTGAGATGCGAGCGCGGTGGTTGCTGCTTTCGCTGGCGTCTGATATGTTGTTCGTTGATTATCGCTATTGTCTGAGTTGCGAGCGATGCTGATTTCGATGACGTATGACGACCTATTTGCGTTGCTGTTGTTCTCGATGGCGCGCGAAAAGTGATTGTGCGATTGCATTTTCTGCGCAGCGTTCAAAACTTCAAAATTCAAACCGTTGCCGGCAAAAGCACGGCTGACCGGCTGACGCCCCCGCGCTATCGCACCCAGAGTTCGACCCTTGCTTCAAATCCGACTGGCAAGGATGAACGCGGCCTTTCCTGAAGCTGGCTGCGAAGGCGCACGGGTGCGAGGGCGGGGAAGGGTGACCAGTGACCAGGCGACTGCGAAAATCCACGACCACTCTTCCGAGAGAATCTTGCCAGGAGCAATCTGGGCAGGAGGAAGACGAGGAGGAAGAGAGCGCGGATGAGGAGGAAGAAGAGGGCGATGAGGACGAGGCTGAAGGACGAGGGATGAGGGCGTTGAGGGAGAAGAGCAAGAGGAGCAGGAGACGGGTCGAGTTAAAAGGTAAAGGGGAGGAAAGGAGGAACGAGGCACCTGTCTCTGGTTTCTGAGAGCCCGTGGGCGAAGCTGATGTAAACTGCAACCTGCAACGTGCAACCTGCAACTGATGCTGTATATCATATCATATATGAGATCTGGTTGGCCATTGAGATCACGAGGTCACTGATCACTGATCACTCGCTCACTGCGCAATCACGCTGGCTCCCCCGAGCCCCCCCCCCCCCCCCCCCCCACCCCGCAAGCAAGGCCACGAGAGCATGCGTCGCGCCCGCTGCGTTGAACGAATTGCCCGCCAAATCCGCGAGTTCGGAGTCCTCAAACTGCCGCAGCGGTGGGGCATGCTCTAACCAGAGGCCCTGCAGACGCAACGACTCTTCTCCTAGGAGGAAGCGGCCTCGGCGCCGGAGAAACAAACGCTGACCTGGGAGCGCACAACAACAACAAATCGTCCCATGAGAGAAACGAACACGGAGAACACTCTGGTTGACGTCGATAACCTCCTCTACGTCGGAATCCGCTGGCAACGGCCTGGTCTTCGCCCAAAAATGGATGATCTCAGCCTCGCGGGGAGTCGGTCTGTACCGTGGATTCGCGGCCGTCGAAGACGTGCCGCAAGACGAGCGACAGTCCTCTGGGGTAGGAGGCCACTGAACGTTCTTCTTCTTGAATTCCGTCGAATGGTCAAGAAACCACCTGGCATCCTGCCCCCCTCCTTGGCGGATCTTCAAGGGCGGCCCTTTGTTCAACCAATGCTCGCAATCCTGATCTGACAATAAGAACTCCGAGAGAGGGATTGTTGGGGGGCTTGTAAAGGACGCGTAGAAACCGTCGAAACTCTCGATGAAAGCCACAGACTCGATCTTCACTGCACACTGCGTCACCCCGGAAAGCAGCGATGTAGACGCGTCGTCGAGATTGCGGCATGCCAGCGCCCATCGCGCTCAAGGTCTGGAACTGAAGGGTATATTCAAAGGAAGCGAAGGTGCTCTTGGGGAAGTCTGTGTTCTTCAAGGTGGCATTCGCCACGTCATCAACGAAGCGCCCCCCCCCCCCCCCCCCGTCACCTCCAGTGCGCAAGACCCCCGTCACGTTCCAAATTAAGACGCACCGGGGCTTGTGCACATCGATGTAGATGAATAGTCCACTCAGTGCTTCTGCACTCGGCCCGATACCTGAAGCCAGAGCCGATGCGATGTCTGTGGATGCATCTCTCGGCGGTAGAACGCGATTTCGCAACTGATATATGTCTGCGCGAGAAGCCGCAGATGAAAATGTCAAGCTCCTGAATTGCCTCCCCCTGGTCAAGTCATCACGTCGCGTGCGTTTGCATGCCCGAGCTGGGCAATAGCAGTGCAAAATCCAGGGGGGTTGAAGTTCCCCGGTATGAATGTCTGCTTGAACGGGTCAACCTCGTAGCTCCAGACGAGCTCGAAGCCGAACTCCTCTGGGAGGTCGAACAGCGACCGTGAAATGGAGACCAGCTGAAAGGCACATGCGACGACGATGTCGGAACCACTGCACACCGCCCCGACGCGGAGCTTCCCGCGGCATCTCCCCACCGACGCCAACAGCTTCTCGCGGGCCCATTCGGCCCCGTTAGTGATCAGATGTGTGATGACCTGCCGGGTTGCGTTTTCATGGTTCCCGCCCCCACCCTCGTCCTCTGGGCAATCGAGCTGGGTTGAGCGCCCGCGCGGCTGCGTGGGCATGGAGTCGGAGGGAAGGCTCTCCAGCCATTGCCCTGATGCTAAGCCTGGAAGGGTGGGCATGTGGACATGCGACAATAGAAAATAATACAATAAGATCGACGAGTTTCGACAGCGTGCACAAGAAATATTGCGCCTCGAACGTCAAGCCAAGACGTGCTCGTGCAAGCGCGTTTCGGGGCGCAGTGCAAACTGCGTACCAGCATAGCCAAGCAGCGCGGTGGATAACAACTTGCAACCTAATTTCCAATCTCCAATCTGCGTGAACCTCAGGAGCTCAGACAGTGAGTCGCTCGTCATCCGTGCTCTCCTCCTCCCCCTCCTCCTCCTCCTCCTCCCCCCCCTCCTCATCCTTCTCTGAATCCTTGGACGTCATTGGCCTCCGCTGAACCCTCGACCCGAGACGTGCCCCACCGATGCTAAATGCTAACATGTATCATGTAACTGCTGTCTGCTGTCCTTTCTGCTCGATCCTCCCCCTCCTCCTCCACCTCCTCCTACTCCTCCTCCTACCCCTCCTCCTACTCCTCCTCCCCTCCTCCTCCTCCTCCTCCTCCTCCTCCTCCTCCTCCTCCTCCTCCTCCCCCCCCCCTTTCCAGTAGTCGTTTCACGTTTCACTTTTTGTTACTTTTTCACTGTTTCACTTGTCCAACCCCCAATGCCCAATGCCTCGCACAGTCAAGCACGCATATATGAAAGCGCAATGCTTGCGCATTACGGTGAAACCGCGGGCACCGCCCGCATCGCTCTGCAGCGCGGCGCAGAAATCCCGCGCCGCGAGGCGCGCGGCACGCGCGGCGTCCACCTCCAACGACTCTGTCTCCTCGTCCGGCCAACGCCCTAAGATCACCAGCCGCATGTAAGCGAGGCGATGCCCCGGCGTGATCTCTGGTCTTGCGGCCGGAGCGGCTCGGCGAACTTCCGACCTCCAGCAAGCCCCGCCCTCCCAGCGCCACATCTGGCAGCTCGCGCTGCCGACGTAGCTCCCGCCTCCAAGTCGATGGAAACGGCGCACCGCACCCCTGACTCGGCACTCGAGCTCGGCGCGCGGCAAACCCACGAGCGGCGCGTTGGGCACGCCGTTGCCGCACAGAGTGATATCCGCGTGCTTCTGGGCCGCCCTGGCCATCACCTCCACGGCGTCGCCCCGCGCCACCTGCCACTCCAAGGCGCCCTCGTCCTTCCGCGACAACCGCGGCGCCCAGCGGGCGCGGGGCGACCAGCCAGCATCGCTCCGCAAGCGCGGGCGCGCAAGGGCCGGCGATCGCACGGCCGCTGCTGCCGGCGGCGACGGCGCCAACGGCGACGGCGCAGGCGGCCGCGTCGCCCGCGCGCTCCGCCGCTGCTCCTCCCCCTCAGGAGCGTGGCTCGGCAGCAACACTTCCAGCGCGCGAGAGCATGGCCCCGAGGGCATACGCTGGAGCCGTCTTCGGGGTTCCTTCGGCCGTGTTGGAGGCCCCCGAGACCGGCGCAAGAAACTTTACCAATTCCAGGATGTTGACAGGCTCACATATTCGGTACTACGTAATGCGAGCATCCAGGGTGGTCCAAGAGGCCGCCAAGCACGCCCAAAGACGGCTTTCGGAGGCCCAAGGACGGCCCGAACAAGGGCAACATAGCACGTCAGCGGCAGACAGTTGGGAGCCTCCCCTTCCAAGATTCGAAGAAAGACCCACGACTCCAAGAGGCCTCCAGAAGACTTTCAGAAGGCCCCCGAGAAGCCTCTGACAGGATTCAGAACCTCCAGGAGGCTCCCCGGACAGCTCCGAAAGAATCCAAAAGACCCCAGAGAAGATCCGAGAGGCCTCCTCCTCCTCCTCCTCCTCCTCCTCCGCCTCCGCCTCCGCCTCCGCCTCCGCCTCCGCCTCCGCCTCCGCCTCCGTCTCCGCTTCCGCCTCCGCCTCCACCTCCGCCTCCGCCTCCGCCTCCGCCTCCACCTCCGCCTCCGCCTCCTCCTTTTCCTCCACCTCCTCCTCCTTTTCCGCCTCCTCCCCCTCCTCCCCCTCCTCCTCCTCCCCCTCCTCCTCCTCCTCGCCCTCCCCCTCCCCCTCCTCCTTTCCTCCAATTCCTCC